ATGCATTTGTCAGAAAATCCGTACGAAAATCTACATGCCTTAGTTAAACGTATTTTGAACAATACAAAACCGTAAGATCCTACCTTTAGATGCACCATGTCCCCCCTTTCCCCCTTAATTACCACTGATTGGTTGCCTAAATGTTTTCTAATTCTATCCTCCCTTTATGTGAGATTGCTGTATTTGTCCGTTGATGAATTAATCGGAAACGTTCTTTCGCCTAAATTGACTTCCTGAATGCTTACATGGGTATCATCGTTGAACTTTAAATATATGCCAAAACTTCGAATATTCAGGTAAGAGTTACCCTTGATTTTTCCATATTCCGTGAAGAGCATTTAGGTGAAAACGGCGACAAAGCATTATTTTCCAATGTTTTTATCCTTGGCTGCTTTATTTACTCAGGTATTTGCATGCGGATCTTCGTATAAGGATAACGCGCAAGATAACCCATTTAACATAAGTTTGCGTTCCTTTAGACAATGTGCCTTTCGAAAGAATATCCTTATTGCCTTTTTTATTTGTTATTTAACTTCATTGCCTATTAAGTTTAGGTTGGAATTTAGGTTATGTTGTTAGTCGATAAGAAATATCTGTTTTCTTCGGCCTATTTCTGAGACAGTTCACTCCGAGTGGTCAGCGGTTATTTTAAGCTGTCAAATCGCCACTTTGACATACTTTTAGAAGATTTTCATATTCTTTATTAAAAATTTCAAGTAGGTATAACGCGTTGAATAAGAAAACTGGAGCTATGAAAACTTGCCAGATAAAAAGTATTTATAGGCGGATAACAACATATTCCTGTTTACTCCCCATTTCTCTCTCAGAGAAAGAAATTTTTAAGGTTCAAAAGACATGGGCATAATGGTAATCTAGTGTTTTGGTGTAAGAGGTGAATTTTAGATTGAATTCATACATTTCTCTCTGAGTGCCGATGATGGGTGAAACACTTTACGCTCGAATCATTTATCAGGTTATGACACCGTTGATCAAGTTTTTATCAACAGAGATCTGATTTGGCAAGATCGGACGCATGTCAGCTAGAATCATAAACTCGGACAGAGAGGCTGAATTTGAGCTAGAGGGGAAGTTGGAGAATTCGGAAGCCGTCGGATATGACGGTGGGGATGTATGCGGAGCTCTCTGTCCCCTCCGACGGCCAGGCACTTTGACAATATGAGCATGGATATGTACGCCAACGAAGAGCGTCAACTGGCGGATTAAATTTGTCCTGCTTGAAACTAAAGATAATGAACTGCAATGACGCTCTGCCGTTCATCTTGGAGCCAGTTAACCCTGAATTAAAAATCCTGTGCGCAGCTCCAATCTTGACGAATTCCTGTCCGACACTCGTGTGCAGGCTACCCAAATTCGTCAGCCACTGCGTCTACCTCCGGAACCGGGATTGTGCAGCCCAATTCTGTCTCGTTGACAGGGAGACTTGAATGGCCATTTCCGGCCTTGTAGCTGTCATGAACCAGCCATACTCAGACTCTGTCGCCGAAATTTTGGAGCTAAAAATAACCACTCAGTCGCCAACTTTAAATTTCAGCATGGGTTAATTTTATGAATGCAAAAATTGTGGCCTATCTAATCAAAACTTATCAGAGAAAATTAGGAAACATAAATCTTCGGCAGCTAAAATGCTGCATGTTTCGGTTATTCTTTTTTGCATATCCAGTATATTTATAAAGAACTTCATCAGTTAAAAGGTTGAGTGATTTTAGGGGAGAAGAGCAACTTACCGTGAATTCAGCTAACAGTTCTCCCCCTACACATCGTTTGCGCTCCCACGTGTGTTCTTCTTCGAGTCATATTTCGCAGGCTGCACTACACGTAAGTTGCATTCTTGAAAATTGATTTTTTCTCTCCAGGTAAATCGGATGAAGCATGATAAAAGAAAACCTATTTCTTTTACAGACTAAGTCTTTTTATATATTTTTTATGGTCTTAAAGCGGTGACAACGGCTATAAGCAATCCAAAGGTTAAACTTCCCGAGATTTTTCTATTTCTTTTAAGAACTAAATATCATGACAGATGGGCTCCACCAAAGCTATGTTTAATTAAAAGCACGTGGTAATATACCTTTAGTATGATGTTGCTCATTCAAATTATGAAACAGAAGGGACCAAGCAGAAAATTAGCATTTTTCGCAATATCCTTCTTCTTATATGGCCAAAGTTTTGTGAATTTCAATCTTAGAACTGAACGCAAACCCGGACTAGTATATCGAAAAATACTACAGTATAAACAATAAAACCAAGGTCTTTCGTTTGTAGAATAAGGTTATCGATAAATTTCCAAGAATTGAGAAAAAGTGATCACGGCGAAATTTTCAATTTAATTAAAAGGTAAAGCACGCATTCATCCATTTAAATGAAAACTTTACATATTGGGGAACGTTTTGTACTTGATTTAACGCCCTATCTTTTTCAATGTATGCCGTTTAGGTTCATTTTTTTCGGCGACGCGTATTCATTTGTGAGCGACTCTACAGATATGGCGCCAATTGCAAACTGCAATCTTAAAAAAATGTCCAAGATTTAACCAATTCCGTAAATGTTTTTAGGAAAGATCTTCTGGCAGGAGTTTCCTTGGTAGTGGCGGAAAAAACTCAACATTTTCAGGTTTGTCAACAGCGATTCGAGCTCGATTTGAGCATGATTAGGGTTAGGGGTAAGGATTAGGGTTATGGTTAGGGCAAGGGTTAGGGTTAGGGTAAGGGTTACAGTAAGGGTTAGGGTTAGGGTTAGGGTAAGGGTTTGCTTCAGGGTTAGGGTAAGGGTTAGGGTTAGGGTAACTTTTAAGGTTAGGTTTAGGGTTAGGGGTTAGGGTGAGGTTTAGGGTTGGGATCGTGATATCTTATGTAAAATGCCCCAAGTTTCTGCTTAATACTACAAAAAATTCTTCAAAAAATCCATTGTTACTGGGTTGTGGGCAAAGGAAACTGTTCGGAATAAAACTCCACATTTGCAATTTGTCGACAGCGATTCGTGCTCGATTTGAGCTCAATTCGAGCCCGATTTGTTTTTTGCGCCATTTTTAAATTTACGCACCCAACGCCGTCGGCCTATAGCTACCGTTTTAAATTACTTCAACAAAATTTTACGACTTTTTTTCTAATTTTCACAAAATCCTTTTTTGGTATATCAGTTTTATTAACTTAAAAAAAAAACTTCTCAAGGTTACCGTATGAAAACAACCTACGGCTTGTTGTATCAAAGACCACTACCAAGAAAACTCCTGCCGATCTTATTTAAAAGGTGCTAATGACATACAGAATATGAGCTGCATTTAGGTGCAATCGACTTGAAACAAAGAAAATTGCAAAATGGTCACCTCTGTTTTGAGGCAGATGTGTTAGTCATGGTAACCCAACAAGGGTTATTCGAATAAAAAAACGTCGTTTAATATGCAGAAAATTATATTTTAAATTGACCCAATTGTAAAAAACTTGTGGCCTTGGTGGGATTCAAACCCATAAAGCAGGGGAGGCTTTTGCAGAGCCAAATTGTATGTTTGCCATTGCTTCTGACAATTCATTTTATATTTAGTATTTGCTAACCAGCCTGTCCATATGTGAACTTATGAAAAAGTTTATTTCGGTACCATCTTTATCGGCGAACTCAAGCAGAACTTGTGTTTAAAACGTATTGTATGGACAGACTTTCCGCCATTTAACACTTAACTTTACTTGGCTCCAGCGATTTGTGACATTTTGGGAATTCCACCCATTTTGTTGAAAAGTTGGTATATCTTAGCAATCTCAACTGTAGACTTCGAGTAAATGTGTTAATTATTACTCGAAAGGTTTGGAACATTCGATAACACCAGTTTGCGAGCGATCAGCAAGCTTTTGCCAGTTTCAGCCTTTTACATCACGCAAGTCAGATGCCATTTATGCCCTAAGCTGCCTACGGAAATACACCCTACTACTCATATTACATAAGGCAGGCTTTATATTTTCATCTGATCACATTCCTATTATCAAGTAAGACTAATGTTTTCTTTTGCTTGGCTCACAAAATAAATTGTATCTTTCACCATGTCTACAGTTCATACTGCCAACTACTCTCAATAATTGGCAAGCGGCATTGCGAACTATTTTGCATATCCATTTGCAGTCCTCTGCGAATGGCCGCGCATATCGCCGTCTGCCACCCGCAAAGCAAGTTCCAAATGACAGGCTACAAATGACGCCATTAAGAGGGGGGGAAATCGCGTACAAGCGTGCCTCGTTTGTACTATGCAGTAGATGCTTGTGCTGATATTTCCCAAGTTCGCCATAGCAAAGAAGCCGATCTGTGCAATAATTGCCACCGTTTACGTTTACGCCAAGTCAATAATCGGCGCAGGCTAATGTAAGATAAAAAGAGCCAATACGGACGGTCAGAAATGGGTTGAGTGTGTAAAACTGAGTTTTCGAACCGGCTTTATAGGCTATCGCTAGGAGTAGGTATCGGCCAGCATAGTGGGCAGTATGACAGGCTGGCGGGGCCTAATAAGCCAGAAATGGTCTCCTTTGTCGGCAGTATTATCCACTACGAGCTGTAACAGCGGTCAGGGACTCTGGTGTGACCCAAGGCAGAGCGTGACAGATGAGACCCGTGAGCGGTCAGGAGAACATTAATCAACGAGTGTCAATACCCCCTGACTTAAACCGGCGAGACAACAAGCTCGTGGCTCAATGGTCAGGGCGTTTGACTTGAATCAGCGCTAGTTCAAGGCTCGAGGAAGCACCAATCGGGCCAAGGTATGACTGGCTGACGACGGCTAATAAGCCAGAAATGGTCATTCTAGTCTCCCTTTTCTTAGCTGGCAATGCTATCTACTTATACTGGGAAGTGTTTGTCGGTAAACTTATCGACTGTCCTCACAATGTGCTGATTGGTGTTGATCCTTACTGGCAGTTACACATCACACATGGTGCCAGGCGGGGACGAGTAGTTACATCCGTTTAGTGGTTCACGAGGCGATTTGCACCTGTCGGTCATCAAATGTCCTCTGTTCCTCAGAGCTGGGTGGATTATTGTCGCGGAAGACCGCTTGGAAATTAGAGACTGGTTGGTAGAAACAAATGCTGTCCGTCTGCCGTAATGATCCAGTATCTTGAGGAGCCTACAGAAAAGCAAACTGAGCAGCAGAAGACGACTCGATCGTTGGAAAAATATGCTTATTCGCCTGACTTTTCGAAATCCGTTGAGGATTCGTCATCAGAGACATACACACAGAACAGCAGCAGAAACAATTTGTGTGTGCACA